TTTTATTTCCATCATTTACACTTTCAAAATAACAGAAAACAAAAAAAATGGCGTCTGCAAAAGTTTGGGCACCCTGCAGAATTTATAGCATGCACTGCCCCCTTTGCAAAGCTGAGACCTGCCAGTGTCATGGATTGTTCTCAATCATCGTCTGGGAAGACCAGGTGATGTCAATCTCAAAGGTTTTAAATGCCTAGACTCATCTGACCTTGCCCCAACAATCAGCACCATGGGTTCTTCTAAGCAGTTGTCTAGAAAACTGAAACTGAAAATATAGATCAAAAGATACAGCGCTTTAGAACCAGAACGTTACAATGAAAACGAATAAATCAAATGAATAAATCTATATTAGATAACTGAACAAATGCAACAGTTCATAGAAAGTAAGGTGACTTTAGTGCTCTCCTCTATTTCGTATCCTCCTGATGATCAGGCGTTGTGCAAAATAGTGCTGAAGAAGTGCACACTCACCAGAACGCACAGGAAAAATGAGCGTTTTTCAATATAGATTCCCCTTAGAATCATCAGCTGGACAAAATGTGGTAGTATGATAGCCTCCTTCCAGAGCTCCTGGATATTCCTGTGTAGCCCCTGATAGTACCTGCGGACTTCTCCTTGATATGCGTTTCTTACCTGAATGACTAAAATGGATACTTCAAAACAAAAACGTATCCTTAAGGCTTATTTATGCGTTTCTTACCCAGCAGAGAGGAGCTGAATGACGTATTTCGTGCACAAAATGGGGGGATACCAAATCCCCAAGGGAGTCATCTTTACCATCATTACGGTCAGTCCACGTTTTATCCATAGTGTAGTACACGGTCATTCATTAAAAAGAATTTATTAAAACCATAGAAGTCCGTGTACACAGCAGTGTATATAAAATGTGGACTGACCGTCCAATGGTAAAGATGGCCACCGGAGCTCCACGATGCTCCGGGCAACGTGACGTCACGGCGTTCCTGGCTCCTCCTACGCGTTTCGTGCACACGCACGTCGTCTGGGGGGATTTGCCAAATGGTGAGTGTGCACTTCTTCAGCACTATTTTGCACAACGCCTGATCATCAGGAGGATACGAAATAGAGGAGAGCACTAAAGTCACCTTATTCTATGAACTGTTGCATTTGTTCAGTTATCTAATATAGATTTATTCATTTGATTTATTCGTTTTCATTGTAACGTTCTGGTTCTAAAGCGCTGCATCTTTTGATCTATATTGTTTTGAGGGTGTATGGTACCTAATGTTCAGCTGCTATTCTATAGATGCGCTCGTATATATCCTTTTTTGACTTGAAACTGAAAATAGTTGACGCTCACAAAGCTGGAGAAGGCTATAAGAAGATAGCAAAGCGTTTTCAGATGTCAATATCCTCTGTTCGGAATGTAATTAAGAAATGGCAGTCATCAGGAACATTGGAAGTTAAAGCAAGATCTGGAAGACCAAGAAAAATATCAGACAGAAAAGCTCGCAGGATTGTGAGAAAAACAATTCAAAACCTACGTTTGACTGCACGATCCCTCCAGAAAGATCTGGCAGACACTGGAGTTGTGGTACACTATTCCACTATAAAGAGATACTTGTACAAATATGGTCTTCATGGAAGAGTCATCAGAAGAAAACCTCTTCTACGTCCTCACCACAAAAATCATCGTTTGAACTTTGCAAATGAACATATAGACAAGCCTGATGCATTTTGGAAACAAGTTCTGTGGACCGATGAGGTTAAAATTGAACTTTTTGGCCGGAATGAGCAAAGGTACGTTTGAAAAAGAAAGGGCACAGAATTTAATGAAAAGAACCTCTGTCCAACTGTTAAGCATGGGGTTGGATCAATCATGCTTTGGGGTTGTGTTGCAGCCAGTGGCACAGGGAACATCTCACGAGTAGAAGGAAAAAAAAATGGATTCAATAAAATTTCAGCAAATTTTGGATGGTAACTTGATGCCATCTGTGAAAAAGCTGAAGTTAAAGAGAGGATGGCTTCTACAAATGGAAAATGATCCTAAACACACCTCGAAATCCACGGGGGATTACATCAAGAGGCGTAAACTGAAGGTTTTGCCATGGCCTTCACAATCTCCTGACCTCAACATAATTGAAAATCTATGGATAGACCTTAAAAGAGCAGTGCGTGACAGACAGCCCAGAAATCTCAAAGAACTGGAAGACTTTTGTAAGGAAGAATGGGCAAAGATACCTCAAAAAAGAATTGAAAGACTCTTGGCTGGCTACAAAAAGCGTTTACAAGTTCTGATACTTGCCAAAGGGGGCAGTACATGATATTAACTCTGCAGGGTGCCCAAACTTTTGCAGACGCCATTTTTTTGTTTTCTGTTATTTTGAAAGTGTAAATGATGGAAATAAAATCTAACTTTTGTTGACATATTATAAGAATGTCTAATCTGTAATTTGATGCCTTTTGGAGATTTTTCCATCTGTCCTTGGCTTCTTTGTGCACATTAATACAAATGTTTAGCTGGGGTGCCCAAACTTTCGATCCCCACTGTACATACATCAGAGAAAACTTAGTCTGACCTAAAAGGCCTTTTGCATCCCACTCACAGTCCACATCAGACCATAGAAAGAGTCAGGGTGACTGCAGCTGGTTCTTCTGGGTGTTAAATTACCTCACCTGGAGTTTTAGCCCTGTGAAGGGCCCTTGCAGTAGCAGACTATATCTACATGACTCTGGGGTATTTGGCTCCCATGCTTCATCCTGCTGGACTCCTTCCATTCATACAGACATTGCCATGGACACTAATTCCACCCATTATATCAGTACAGATAGACTCTGTCCAAAAGGAGCCCTGACTCCTGGCGCCATAGGCAGCTAACTGATTTTTTCCAGAAATTAGCACCTAAAGCACATCCACCAGACTCACTAACACCCTTTGAATGTATATGTAAGACCCCTGGGGACTCTAAGCACCTGCTTTCACAAATGAATTGATGTCTGTTAACAATCCACTCTCAGACCTCTCCATATTTTATACAAGAATAGGAAGTGGAGTTGGGGTTCTATTTTACTACGCACCAACTACAAAAAATGTTAACATTTTTCCATGTGTCCTCAATTAGCGCTAAGTCCCAAGAATCATGTTATCAATTTTTATCTCAGTACAAGACACCCTCACGTCTGGCTAGGATTTTCCCGGGAGCTGACCATAATTGCTGGAAGGGTTGCGCACAGGAAGGCACTTTTATGCATATCTGGTAGCACTGCCCCAAAATGTAAACATTTTGGGGGGATTTCATGCCCTGGATTCAAAGAATTACTTTTAAACCCATACAATTTACCCCCTTCCATTGTCTTTTTCACGCTACCCCCTCCTCTTTTAAATCCTATAAATGTAGTGTTACCCCGCATCTTTAGAACGTGGCCAAGAGACTCATACGAAAATTTTGGAAACAATCCCATTGTCCCACCTTACAGGATTGGAGGAGGAAGGTAGACAGGATAATGGAGGCCAAGCGATGGGTCTATACTGTTAAAAATAACCTTGACAAATGTCACGACATCTGGTCTGGCTGGATATACTACTCTCTAGAACTGGATAGCCCCAATGGTACTGACCCGTGACTGTCGCAACCCTTAGGGAATCTCATTTATGTTGTTTACTGTTGACATTAAACAGCAAGGTAATTAGTTTCACGCCAATTGCCTGCACATAGACCTTTTGTCTTTTGACCTTTTTTTGTATGCTATCTTTATGCTTTCCTCAACTTTGGAGCAATATTAACCCAATGATCACTGTTTTTTTCTGGTTTTGTCTTCAATGGCTTAAGCCATTTTCTCTGTTTCTCTATATATCTGTGTCCCACATCTCACCTTATGCTTTGTTAAAGGGCACCGTCCATATCATATCCTATTGAACTGATGTTATTTGGTTACAATGTGGTTGCCCTTTAGGTGCCCAACAGTTATATGCAGAGACATAGCTCCTGAATAACTACTGAACCTTCATGTAGTGACCTGTACTCTTTTCCCTGCTGCCCACATCATCGGGCAGTCAGTAGAATGGCACTAGGATATGTGGACATGGATTCTTTATATTTGTATACTGCACTGAGTTCTTTTTCTCTGTCTTTTTGTATTGTATTTAAAATTTTTGTTCAATAAAAATTATACAAAAGGGGACCTAACACCCAATTACCTAATTCCCTCTACCATACTATTTTGGGACAAAGCCAGGGCAAACACTGCTCTGCAGGACACTGTAAGATGGGAAATCAGCATACACATTATTCTGGTGGGTACTGTAAGGTGGACAATCAGAATATATAGTGTTCTGCAGGATACTGTAAGATGGGCAGTTAGGACATATACTGCTCTGCAGGGTACTGATAGGTGATAGGTCAGGACATATAATGTTCTGTGGGGTACTCTAAGGTGAGATGCCATGACAAACAATGCATGAGGTAAGCTACACAAGTAAAATGCAGTTGCAAAAAGCCTCACATTATCACACAATGCTCCAACCATGTGCAACTGATCACTACAAGATGCTACTGTATATCATTTGTGTAGCTTATCCCATTACTAAACATCTCTTCCATTTGCTTAGTGATCAGCTGCTACTCTAAACAATACATTGCTAACAATTTTAATCATACAGTTGGATACTAAAGATCGTCTGTGCAACTCTAGCCTACTGATGTGATTGAAAGCAAGTGGTTACATCTCAATATCAAGAGACTACAATAACCCATGAACAGCAGCTTAGTCCTCATAGGTACCCTGTAATTCTCTTTTTAATACATTGGTGCTATATAGTATATCACATAATGTGCCACCTTCTCTCTAGCAGTGGAGCCACACTGATATTTTATTAATGCAATAAAATAAGTGGTTAAGCAACCCATGAGAGCTCCCGCTTGCACACATGTACTCTATTACAGAAGCTCTTTTGTCAAATGCAAGAATTTGCAGGCCTGCTGCACACATTCTACCCCAACTCACAACAGACAGCATCCAAATATGAAGCTAGCAGGATTCACCTTTCAGCTCCAAGGGATTGTGATAATGAACCTCAAGCCGTAAGAATCTTGAAGATCTTGCTCCCCCAAATGCTAAGCCAACATCTTCTGGGTAGTAAAATTGCTGAAATTGTCAAAAATAGCCAGAGTTAGAATCCAGCTACAAGAGAGGTTTGTTAAGTTTACACATATACAAACAGTTAAAGAGAACCTGTCATAACTGAGCATTCCCCAATATATTACTATAATTGTACAGGCTTAAATAGGAAAAGTTTGAATTTGTTAGTTAATAGGATTTGGACACAACCCATTAACTTAAGAGTGGTTCCATCACCCCAAGGGAACATATGGGAAAAAAACAGTAAAGATGTACAGGACTTTCAGCAGCACCTAACTATAACACATACAAGGGTCAATAAAAATTCAATATTCAGCAAAAATGCTTACTAAAAGAATCAATGTGATGCAATGGGGTTGATTTACTAAAGCTTCAGAGTTCAAAATCTGGTGCAGCTGTTCATGGTAGCCAGTCAGCTTTTAACTTCAGGTTGTTCAATTAAGATTTGATAAACAAAAAACAGGAAGCTGACTGGTTTCTATGCAGAGCTGCACCAGATTTTGCACTCTGAAGCTTTAGTAAATCAACCCCAATGCATCACATTGATTCTTTAGCAAATTATCCCATAGTGGTTCATTGTCCAACTGACAACATTCTCCAAACATACATCATGAACATAGCATGGTCTAGTTGACCCATTAAATTACAGGGTTCACAAAGTCTTATGGTCAATTAGTGATGATGAAGGTTATTTCCCAACTTTATTTCTCAGATAAACTGTGCTTCATCAGGAAATGGGGTAGGGAGCATAGTCATGAATACAGTCACAAATGGACACTTGTGAACTGCCTCCAAAGCAGGCCCAGATCTAGCCTGACTGATCTGGGGGTGCAGTGAAAAAAGTAAAGGGGCATGCTTTCCACACTAAAAAAAAACATAAGGAACTGCTAATATAACTTGACAAAGACAATGCACTGGGTAAAGCTAGCCAAATAAAGCACATGGACATGCATGTACACTGCACAGCACAGACTTCTCTGTGCTATGCACCACACCGCAGATAAAGCAGGTAGATCTATGGAGGTTGCTCCTCCACATTCTTCTAACTTTCCAGCTTATCCACAGTGTCCCCTCCTGTGCCAGGAACTCTTATCCACAGATCTCCCTCCTGTGCCCAACACCCACCTAGCCACAGCTCTCCCTCCTGTGCCCAGCACCCCTCTGTCCATAGGTCACAGGTCCCTTCCCTGTGCCCAGCACCCACCTATCCAGAGCTCTCCCTCTGTGCTCAGCCCCCCCCCCTCTCCTATCCAGAGCTCTCCCTGTGTCCCAGCACCTCCCCCCTATCCAGAGCTCTCCCCTGTGCCCAGCACCTCCCTCCACATCCACAGCTCTCCCTCCTGTGCTCAGCACCCACCTATCCACAACTCTCCCTCTGTGCCCACCTCCCCCCTCCCATCCAGAGCTCTCCCTGTGTGACCAGCAACCCTTTCCCCCCCACCTTATCCTGAGCTCTCCCTCTGTGTCCAGCACCCCCTTCCACCTACCCCATCCATAGCTCTCCCTCCTATGCCCACCACCCGCCAATCCACAACTCTCTCTCTCCTACCCCCCCAATCAACAGTTCTATTAAAGTGGAACTGCACTGCATTGCTACCACAAACCAAAAATGCTATATATTTTTTTTTTAATAGTCTCCATGCTTTATTTTGCTGAGAAATCATTTTCAAAAGCACCTCCTGGCATTTCTGGCAGTGCCCATCTTGAGTAAGGGCAGATGATTCATGTAGCAGTTACTTCCTGGAGTCCATTTGTCCTTAGCTCAGGCATTGGCAGAGCTGAGAACCCTCCCCTCCTGAAGATTCCTGAGATGTATGACATCATTTGCCTAAGCATAGAAACCAGGAAGTAAATGAAGGAATGTAAAAAAGAAAAAAGTTAAAACAAGTAAATATGATATATTTTCCAATCTATTTACTAATCCTAGCAGCATAAGGAGCCTCAAGGAGAGACAATGCAATTCCTTTTTGAATGACACCCAAATGCATCAAGGCAGCATACCTGTGTTGTAGCTAGAAAAAAACATCATTGACTAAAAATGAACATACTGTATAATGTTATTCTCTTCTAATGAACGTATAGGCAGGTTGCTTACTATGAACTAGTTAGCATGTCTGCCTAGTCAGGGGGAAGGGGTAATATCTTTTACCGCTATTCCCGGTCTGAATTCTCTGCCTTTTTTAGGTCTGACCCACCTGGGTCTGGTGCTATGTTATTGTAAAAGGGACAGGAGCTGGATCCCAGGGCTTTTTCTGAGCCTTGCTTTGCTTAGTCTGAGAAAGTCAAGAACCTTTGTCAAACTGTGAGAAGGTGCCGACTCATCGGGACACCAGCATGGACTCTGCCATTAATGAAATTTCAATCAGTGCATTTCTGCTGGGGCAGCCACAGTTAGTAAGTTAGGGAAATAAGCTCCTAAACTGATATGCTGAAGTCTCTCAGTAAAGCCTTTGAAACATTGTCCTACCTGGTCTGAAGTTATTGAAAGGGGTTTATGAAAGTAAGCAGAACTCTACACATAGTCTGCAGCTTGGATCAGTTAAAGTACATTGGGGTATGAAGACAGCTCTGCAAGAGTTAACATGGTGCGGAGTACAGCTAGTAGTTGCCAAGGGTAATGGAAGTCTAGTAACCAGTACAAGCAGCCAGCCGTGTAGCTTGGTACCTGTGCCAGGCGAGACATACTCTAGTAGCAAGTGGGTTGCCTCTGGGACTTCCTCCCCTAGCAGTCTATCTCCCATAATAATGGGAGCAGATAATTATTACGGAGGCACTCGACCTGGCTGCCAGGTTGGAAGAGTAGAAAGACAAAGTGCATACATGAGATCCCTACTAAGTGCACAACGGGACACCAATCTGTCAATGGGAGTGAGGTGACAGAGATACGCTGGACGGGTAGAGCGGGCATAGGCTTAGTGTGTCCCTTCTAATTGCAAGCAGTTACAGTCAAGCTATGCATTGAGACAGAACCAGAGAGTTAACTGAAGTCCAGTTTATTCACTCAGTGTACACAGTGTAGGGTCATCTCTCAGATGAAGATTGAATTTCCCTGACAGAGGTCCTTGCCCTTCCCAAGGCATTGATGAGCACAACACAGCAAAGGTACCAGGGTGAATGACCGCACCCACACAGTGCCTAGCTTAGCCCAGAAGAACTCAATAACCCTGCAGCCAGCCCAAAAACATCTTCATACACAATACCATGATATCCCTTTTTATTATGCAATATACTACTTTGTATTGTACTCTCTAATCTTGTTTAATAAAAGCATTGAACAGAAAGTGTATCTAAAGTCAAAACCTTTTCTTAGATTTTGATGGAGTGGGGAAGGGTTGTATTTTTATTGCTGTCTGTGTCCCCACTGGGAACATTCACCCCATTTTTTCATTCTGATGGCCACTGCCACTGGGACAGAAAAGCCAAAATCTTACAGCTGTCACTGGAACAGGAAGACAGGGAAATTTCTTCAATGGAACAACGACAGCACAAGAAAAAAAAATTACAGGGGTCCTAAAAATAACCTACTCAATCCAAGAAAAAGGTTTTTGCTGTAGATACATGTTAATTGATTCTTCTAGAAACACACATCCTGATCAATAGATGTTGCCTTCACCTTTGCCCCCATTGCCCAGGCAGCTAGGACATGTCTGCAGTGGTTTAGCTTTTCTGGTTTCATCTTGGAGTCGCAAGGCCCGCTGTAGTGGGGGATAGTGTCATAGTCTTCGGAACACTGAAAAACCTCGATGTGATGGACAACTGCCTCGTGTCCTTTTGTAATTGATGGCTCATACTGCAAAAAAGATCACTATTATTAACACACTGGTCTTGTGATTTCAGAAGTTCAGTCACAGATAATAAACAGGCTTCTCTGACTGATCACCCTCCTGTCATTGGTCCCACAGTATCTTCTGTACCAGTGGAGGTCTTGTGACCAATGCCTCGGCAAAGACCATGTGACCAGACACAAGCCAATACAGAATTTCCAGTTATGTCAAAATGGTGATTTTTGTTAGCTCTTTCATTATCTTTTACTTCTAGTGTGCAGGCTAAGGCCTCATGAACACTGGACAAGCCTAAATACTGCAAGAACTTTGGGTTTCATTTTTAGCAAAACAGTACATTAAAATGATCAGCGTAACGTAAAGCTCCATTCACATAAGGACGTTTCAAATCGTGGGTGGAATAGCCACGATTCTTCCTGTGATTTGAAAATGCGGTGTGACAATGTAAAAACGAGCGATCATGTGTCGAGGTGCCATTCATTTCAATGGCACCTGAAAACGTGGGGCGTTTTTCCCCTGATCACGGTGCTGTTTTCTGCACAACAGATGCATCGTGATTGTGCATACAATATTGCGGGACACCCAAAAATGGTTCCGTAAATTTATTTGGGCATTGCGCATCCCGCGATTTTGTTTGCACGATCAAAGCATGTTTGTCGCGCAGAAAACCACACCGCAATTGCCCCGTGCTTTCAGGTGCCAATGAATGGCACCTCTACGCGCAATCGCGTGTTTTCACATTGTCACACCATATTTTTAGATCACGGGCAGAATCGTGGTGATTTGATTTAAAATGCCCTCATGTGAATCATTTTATCAGTGTAACAAAATATTTTGATACATTGTATTTATAAACAGTTTATAAATATATACTGTAGGTACAAGGGTAAGAATGTGTGCTCATTACATATCTACCTCCACCAAGTAGTATAACAGAGATTGTGTTTTATTATTAATCTTTTCTCACTGTAAGTCTACCAGTCAGGTCTGACTAACTGATAACAATGAATGCTCTTTGAGACCCAAATTTTTGTTGTTGATTAGGGGTCTGGGTGACTGCAGTGATATAAAGGTAGATTGCTAATAGAGACTGTAGAAAGCAGTATGTGCACTGTAGGCACTGGCAATACACTGAGACTTCCCTTTAAATCTTATAGTCAGCACCTGTCTTTAGGCATCTGACTATAATAGTAATTTAATGGCTAATTAAAATGGATGGCAGAATTTCAGAATGGCCGTCTGACATCTGACAAGGACGTATAACTGCCACTGGGATTGGTGAATTGTTAGATGAGGGATTCGCACCTTCAAGCGTTTTTTCATTTCTTGAAAGTATTTCTTATGGCCATGTGAGCACATGTGACAGGCAGCTCACGTCTGCCATCTTCCATCCTGCTCCTGTAATTATCAGACTAATTAGAATTCCGAGTTAACTGAGCTCGCACACCAAGTGCTGTCACTGTACTTTCCCCATGGCAAAAACTAATTTTAAATACCACTCCGAGGGACAGCTTTACTGTGACTTGGCAAGTTGTCTGTAAGGCAGCACATAAATGATTGCTTTAGTAATCTGCCCTGCTGGCTTCATATCTGCAGTATATATAAGAAGCCAATTTTTCGTTACTCAATATTTTGCTATGCCTAGTCCAGTCCATGTTTTTTTTTTCTCATTGGATTCCCTGGGTCGCCTGTACAGAAACCAACCCCTGAATTCATGGTCATCTGATTGAAACTGCCTATGCACAGCTGCAGGTTATGCTGAATTATTATATATGAAGCTTTTTTTTTTATTTTAATCCTTGTCCACATAATATACAAACCACAAAAAGCACATAAAGTAAATTCTGTAACAAACTAGTATAGTGGAAAAATAAAGTGGTATTTATTAAATGCATGGTACAGATAAATATTATATATATCAATGTAGTGAAGATGAGGTAGATTCTATCTCACTTTGCGGCTTCAATCACCTGAGAGCTCATTTTGGTCTGACTAACTCCCATAATTTTTAGACACTTAGAGCTTCATCATGTCTTTCAGACACAGTTTGGTGGACTGCAATGCTTAGGTCCCTAGGTTAGAGCTCTTGCTGATAGGGGACTCTCTGGAGAACCTCTCTCCAAGCTTTATAAATGGCTTTTTTACACACCATAGTCATTGATTGATGAAAGGAGAGGTGGTTTGTTGTTCCAGATTTGGATGCTGATGACTGGACCAATGTCTGGGACTATCCATTTACACATCTTATATCCTCAAGACATAGACTGATCCAATCTAAAATTTTATATAGAATATATACCATACCCTGGCCAGACTCATCAGTATTTACCACTCCACTTCCTCCCAATGCTGGTGCTGCCTGCGCCTCCTGATTTCTACATATATTTTGGGGTTGTTTTAAATCAGTTTGTCTCTCATATTTCTGCCTTGGAAGTTCGTCTTACAATTTCTGTGTGCCTCCTGGACCTTGTGAAATGTATAGCACCTACCAGGGTCTTTAGAACTCTACTCAGCCTGCTCGGAAGCTAATTATCCTCAACTGGAAAAAATCTGAGCTACTGACTCTCTCCTCCTGGAGGACACTTGTTAGTTTCTTCATTGCAACTTTACAAGGCAGCATATGCCAGAACAGGATGTCCAATAACATTCTTTAAGTAGGTTGGCTGGACTTAAATTATTTAAATAATTGCTCTCGGTTACATGAGCGCTTACTGTATCCTACCTTTTCTTTTTGGATATAGGGAGACTTCCTGTTTGCTTTTGTTCTTAGGTCCTCTGCCTTCTATTATTACTAGAGGGCTGCTGGGCATGGAACCTTTAAGGCAGTTCTCTCTATAACCTTAACTGGGGTTCTGGGGTTAATTCTTTTTCTGGTACGTGTCCTTACTAGTATACCAGTATTGACTTAGGGGTGTGTCGCAAACATGCTCAACAGAGACTGACGCAGTCCGCAATTTTGTTAAAAATCTCCATTTTCTCCCCTCATTCTCCCTCCCCCCTCACTCTGAGAGGCACAGTGACAGTGTATGTGTGTGTTAAAAAATGTCACAGGAGGGTCATAGGAGCTTTAAAGGCCCCCCAGGGAGCCTGGGCCTAGCTGTCCTAGAACCTGTGCCATTTCACACCTCGGAAGAGATAAGGCAAGCTTTCCCAAGAGTTGAAAGAGATCCTGACCTAATGAATCTACTCAGCATAGGTGACAGAATCAGAAAACACTTCTCAAAATCCATGTTTCCCCTATGTCTCATATCTTGGAATATGGGAGACTTACATAAAAACCGGACATATCGTCAGATGGATGATGAGCAGGCAAACAGTTTGATGGGTCACTTGCCTTGTCTCAGACACACAGGAAAGCAGAAAAATAGATCTCGTGAACCGTTCAGTGTACACTTTCATAATTCATATCTAATCAATCCTCAGACTTGTCTGCATAATATTCTACCCGCGGGTGGAATGTCACTTGTGCAGATGGAAAGTTACAGGCCAAAATATGAGTTACGGGAGATTTTTGCTCTAGTTTAGGCATCCACCCATATCTCCACGCCCTAAGCGGAGATTGGTCCTTGACTTCAGAGCCACTTCCTGCTGGGAACTACAAAATAGGCTGTCAGGCCTAAGAAAGGGAAGTTGAAGACGTCTCCCATTTTAACATCAATACCACCTGTGGGAGATTTCTGAGCCCTTCTGCTCAGAAACTTGATCTGCTTACATCCAAGGCTTAATGGCAAGTACCTTAACCCTTTAACCTCTCTCTGTTATCTCTTTGCTGTGCTGTTATTCTCTGTATATTTATATATATATCTTAGTTACATCCTTTTTTCTGTAAATATTTTTTATTGCACCCGTTTGACCTTTTATAGTAATAAATCTTTCTTTCTGAAAGTGTTGAACTGTTTCTATAGCTCTGTATTGCAATTTATGAATCCCTGCCTCTAAAGAGAACGCTACTGTTTGTTTTAAACCCTCTGTATAACTGACCTGTGTTATGACCGTGTTATGCAGACGATTATTTCAATCATTATAGTGTTTTAGCTGAGATCGCAGAGTTTCCTCTTTCTCTGACAAAAAGGAGGTGGTGGCAGTGTGAAGGGTTAATTGCGTAATTAACCAGACCCAGTAACAATCGCTCAGGCTGCCGGTACATCGATCTGTGGTCTATTAGCTGGAAAATCGTTGTGCAGGGTGCAGCTGGGTGTGGCATTGTTAGGCATGTAACATCGCGGTTTTAGATTGGCTAGTCCTTCGGTCACGAGTTTGGTGAGAAGGGCTGGGGTCTGACTCCGCGTTCGTCACATATTGGATGTCGCGATTGTGGGATCATCACATGATGGTGGCAGCGATCTAGCGATCATGACAGGGTGAAAACCTCCCACCCTCCCATGGGGGAGATGGGGTGCTTATCATTTCCTCTTTAAAGTAGAACTATGGGCAAAACTTCTTTCTACATTTTGGATAGAGTAAAGAGGGCATAACCACCATTAGTTTATTTTTTGCCACCAGTGTGTTATTAGGGAGATTTAACTTCACTTCCTATTCCATAGCCAAAACAGGAAGTGAGAGAAAATCCATGTAAACTATGGGAATTCCTTGGGGACTCCCTAGGTCACCAGAACTAGTGTCCTCATTGGCAAATTTTCCCCTATTACTGTTCTGGGGACAGCCCAAAAGTTGGGATTTCTTTTACTTTTACTTTCACTTTCAATGATAATGGTAAACAGGATAAATGAAGAGGGTGAATCTCCCTATTGGGGACACATACAGCAATAAAAACGTGACAGGTGTTCTAATCCATCCCCACTCTGTTTAAAACTAAAAAAAACAAAACCTTTTGCCTTTAGTTACACTTTAAGTCTGGACTCACTAATTTAAAATACTGCCTTTCTAGTGGTTGAGATGTAAACCCTGTGACATACACTGCCGCAAACTACAATTTGGCATATGTTATGTACTGACAAAAATACAGTAAAACAAGCCTATAAATAAGTTAGCATTATAGTAACAACTCTAAATATGTGCTTACTAAAAATACACTTAAGTTTTACTCTAAGGCAAATTGTTTTTGTGTTACCATTACAATGTGATGTTTGGAGAAGTGTTGCGGTAATTCAGTGATGTAGCACCAGTAAGTTGTCTCCTTATCTGGAATGACAACATTGGGAGAAAGAATGTCCATCGTCAGGACATCATCTGGGAGATGAGGTGTGCGAATCTCTGGTTTCAGCAGCTGCACTCGCTGCAGGCCACGGTGAAGGGTGGAGATATTGATGGCAGACAACGAATGAAAGGGTTTCTCCAGCAGGGCGTAAATAACGTGTACCGTTCCATCCTGAGAAGGAAGATTACAAATGGTGAAGATTTAAAATGTGGAAATATGAAAGAATATAAGCACTTAAAGAGTACCTGTCACTTCATAGAGTGGGGTCTGCCATTTTTTGGGTGAGATTTGGCCTTTGTGCCTCACCCTAAAGAATTACAAAGCTGTATAGCCAAGTAAAGTATTAGCTGATAGAGTCCAACAACAGCAGAACTTGTAACATATTCTTAGGATAGATGCTGCATAGTTTCCAATATTTTTGTATAGTTCCTAGGGACATTTTGCTGCAGAGATGGTGAAAACAGTTGAGCTGGCCATGCACAATAGAACATGCAATCATTGGATAATCTATTGTCCAGGCCCTAATATGCAAAGTGAGGGCATGTCTACAGAATTTGAATAATTTGCAGCCAATCATTCAAATTACTACTACAAGGACACAGGAAAATCTAAAAAAAAAGACTGCACAATCAGAATGTAGTGTGTATGATCAACTTTAGCTCATCAAAAGCACTACTTGTTCCAAAGATCACCTATTCTTATATATTTTTTCCTGTCTGTGTACCATGGGGTAAATTTCCCTTCACTTCCTGCCCAGAGATGCAACAGGAAGTAAATGGAAATCTCCCAAAGTGAGGGATATTCCCCTCCTAGATAGTTGTCCCTGTGTCCCCATTGGAAGACTTCCCCTCATTTCCCCTTCATTGTCCTGGGTACACATAAACAAAGTGAAAAAAAATGTGGGACTTATAAGGTGCTATATCACCCTCAGCAAAAAATACTCATACATGCCTATTATAAAACATAAATGGTTTTACTACATAATATTACAACCAGGGAATACATCCATAAAAACTGTGAATGAACAGTGTCTCATGAAGCGATCAGTACAGTGAACCCCATAACACCTTCCTCAGTCAAATACTTCACATGATATAGTATATTCTTAAAAGTAAGAAAAAAAGGGAAGGTGTTTTCTCCCAACACATTTTGCAGGATAGGATTGTTCAGGGGCTCGATTAGAGTACACAATACTGATGGTCATTAAAACTACACTACACAACTTGATGGGACGAGGAGACCAGAAAGAGTGTCAAGATGCCACCCCCCTCTCCCAGGGAAGCCCAGGGACACTCATTCAGAAGGAGGGGGGGAGACCAATCCAACCTGCAGTTTAATCTTAAACATAGATATTTGGTTGACTATATATCATCAGGCCGCATGCATGAAAAGAATAAAGCAACCTATCCAGGTACCTGATACACTATTGCTGTATGGATTGCAGGGCAGTGCAATCTCCTGCCGTATATGCCTCAATCTCCAGCCACATCTGGGGCTCTGCAATCCATACAGCAATACCGTATCAGGTACTTGGATATGTTGCTTTATTCTATTCATGCATGTGGCCTGGTGATATATAGTCAACCGAATATCTATGTTTAAAGTGTTATCACAACGGTAAAATCAGTCTGTATATGCAGTAAAGCATGCTTGTTATACTCACTGTGGAACCTAAGGGGTTAATCCTCTGCATTATGTAAAAATGCTGTTTGATCCTGACTACTCTGATCCTCCCCTTCTTCCAGTGTCCCCCTCTTATCTCCTGATAAGACATATCATGTGGAGACACTCTGCACATGCTCAGTTTGGTGTGTATTGCTAGAGAGGTTTCTTGGGAGTGTGCATGTGATCAGCACAGGGCCATTCAGCACTGTCCAGACAGAGGTAAGGAGTTCTGCATCTCCCTAGAGCAGAAAGAAAACTCCTCCTACAAGCTTTAACTAATGCTCTCCTGAAGTCCCAAGACTGCTCTAACTTCTGATGAGAAAAGGTATTTAGCAATTTATATTTACTAAAATAATTGCATTTCCATGTAGTGTGTACTGTGGGAGACCAGATAGATTGAATGCAGGGTCCTGGATTTTGTAACACTTTAAGATTGAACTGCAGGTTGGGTTGGCCTCTCTCCCCCTTTGTCTGAGTGAGCATCCCTGGGATTTCCTAGGGGGATGACTGTCTTGATGCTTTTTCTGGTCTCCTTGTCCCATCGAGCTGTGTCGTGTAGTTTTACTGACCATCAGTATTGTGTACCCTAATCGAACCCCTGAAGAAGCCTACCCGGTGAGAAGACACCTTCCCTTTCTTCTTACTTTTATGAATATACTACTGTATATCATGTGAAGTATTTTATTGAGGAAGGTGTTATGAGTTTCACTGTACTGATCACTTCATGGGACACTGTTCATTCACAGTTTTTATGGATGCATTTCCTGGTTTTTATATTTTGTAATATAACTGTTTATGTTTTATAATAAGTGTGTATGAGTGTCTTTTCCTAAGAGTGATATAGCACCTTAAAGTGTTACTAAACCCACAAGAGTAAAATCAGTCTTTATATGCAGTAAAGCATGCTTGTTATAATCACTGTGGAATGTAAGGGCTTAATCCTCTGCATTGTGTAAAAAGGCTGTTTGATCCTGACTTCTCTAATCCTCTCCTTCTTCCAGTGCCCCCCTCTTATCTCCTGATAAGACATATAATGTGGAAACGCTCTGCACATGCTCAGTTTGGTGTGTATTGTTTTTTTTTTTTTTTTTCTTGGGAGGGTGCATGTGATCAGCACAGTGCCAAGCAGCATTGTCCAGACAGAGGTCAGGGGTTCTGCATCCTCCTGGAGCAGAAAGAAAATTCCTCCTACAAGCTTTAACCAGTGCTCTACTGAACACTGATAGAAGTCACAAGACTGCTCTAGCTGCTGATGAGAAAAGGTATATAGCAGGTTATATTTATTAAAATAATTTAATTTCCATGTTCTGTGTACTGCGGGAGACCGGATATAGTGAATGCAGGGTCCTTGGTTTAGAAACACTTTAAAAGTCCCACAGTTTTTCACTTTGTTTTTTATACATGATTTGGGATGTGGTGCTCATAGGTCAACTACACCTATTTCTTGTTTAATTGTGCTGGGTACAACTCTTCCCCACTCTAATTAGAACAAAAAATATTTTAACAAAACATATACTTTAATGATGATAATTTTGACTAAATAAGTGCAATAAAGGAAATTGTTTGCTAATTATGAGACACACTTTTGACATTCCAGGCATCTTTTTTTCCCTGTTCAAATAGAAATGTAGTCCTTAAATAGTTTAACCATGTATGTTGTTCTGTGGGCTTTGTTTTCCATTTTTTAATGAAGATAGTACCTCAATGAGGTAATCTTTGGGGTCACATGTTATGAAGGGTCTTTTGAAGACGAGGTAGAAGCCCTCTGGTGTCTGTCGGGCTGACAACAGCTGGTAGTCTTGGTGGGAGTCGATGTGCAGTTGTCCCTCTGTGTCACTCCAAGCATCCTGGGAATAAAATATAAGTGTTAAACAAATGCAACCTACAGTGCCATAAATAAGTATTCATACCCCTTGAAATTTTCCACATTTTGTCAAGTTACAACTAAAAACTTAAATATATTTTATTGGGATTTTATGTGACAGACCAACACAAAGTGGCACATAATTGGAAGGAAAACAATATGGTTTTCAGAATTTGTTACAAATAAATATCTTGAAAGTATGGTTTACCACCTTTACTCTGATACCCCTAACTAAATTCTAGTGAAACCAATTGCCTTCAGAAGTCACCTATATAGTAAATAGAGTCCACCTGTATGTAATTTATTCTCAGTATAAATACAGCTGTTCCGTGAAGCCCTCAGAGGTTTGTTAGAGAACATTAGTGAACAAATAGCATCATGAAGGCCAAGGAACACACCAGACAGGTCAGGGATAAAATTGTGGAAACGTTTAAAGCAGGGTTAGGTTATAAAAAATATCCTAAACTTTGAACATCTCACGGAGCACTGTTCAATCCATCATCTGAAAATGTAAAGAGTATGGCCAAACAGCAAACCTACTAAGACATGACGTCCACCTAAACTGACAGGCCAGACAAGGAGAGCATTATTCAGAGAAGCAGTCAAGAGGACCATGGTAGCTCTAGAGGAGCTGCAGAGATCCATAGCACAGGTGGGAGAATCTGTCCACAGGACAACTATTAGTCATGCACTCCACAAATCTGGCCTTTATGGAAGAGTGGCAAGAAAAATGCCATTGTTGAAAGAAAGCCATAAGAAGTCCTGGTTGCAGTTTGTGAGAAGCCATGTGGGGGACACAACAAACCTCTGGAAGAAAGTGCTCTGGTCAGATGAGACCAATATTGAACTTTTTGGCCTAAAAGCAAAACGTTATGTGTGGCAGAAAATTAACACTGCACATCACCCTGAACAAACCATCCCCACCGTGAAACATGGTGGTGGCAGCATCATGTTGTGGTGATGCTTTTCTTCAGCAGGGATAGAGAAGCTGGTCAGAGTTGATGGGAAGATGGATGGAACCAAAAGCAGGGCAATCTTAGAAAATAACCTTCAGAAGACTTGAGACTGGGGCGAGAGTTCACCTTCCAGCAGGACAATGACCCTAAACATACAACCAGAGCTATAATGGAATGGCTTAGCTCAAAGCATATTCATGTGCTAGATGGCCCAGTCAAAGTCCAGACCTAAATCCAATTGAGAATCTGTGGCAAGACTTCAAAATTGCTGTTCATAGACGCTCTCCACCCAGTTTTACAGAGCTTGAGCTATTTTGCAAAGAAATTCTTCTTTGCAAGATAGCTCAAGCTCTGTCATTCTGCCCATTCTTGGGCAAAAAAATTTCACTCTCTAGTGCAATGCTGGTAGAGGCATACCCATAAAGACTTGCACCTGTAATTACACCAAATGGTGGTTCTACAAAGTATTGACTCAGGGGGCTGAATACAAATGCACGCCACACTTTCCAGATATTTATTTATAGAAAATTTTAAAAACCAATTATCATCTTCCGTCCACTTCACAATTATGTGCCACTTTGTGTTGGTCTATCACATAAAATCCACAAAAAATGAATTTACATTTTTGGTTGTAACATGACAAAATGTGGAACATTTCAAGAAGTATGAATACTTTTTCAAGGCCCTGTATTTAGATTGGACCTATAATCAAATAATAAAATAAAATCAGCAATCTTGCTGCGATGGAGACAGGAAGGCTGGAGTTGAGAAACCAAACAGCCTCATTGCACAGGCAAACATTTTTTTTTTTCACGGAATACTGCTTAAATAACAGTTTTACCTAAACTTTGGCATAAAATATCATCAAGTGTCAGCATCTACCTATTGGGCTGAGATGCTGTATCATAGATGGTACAACCATGTCAACCTGTTTAATAAATGTCTGACTTAGATCAGTCTCTACTGCTGCCTTTCATCCTGTGACTTGCTACAGAGTTATCACTTACAGCTTGAGTGATCACTGGGGGAGAGACTGAGGAAAAGCTTGTGACTGATTGTATCGTCTCAGCCTAGACAAAGTCAGTGGCTGACGCTCAAGTACAGCTCTTTATTGATATATCATGCAGCTTTTTGAAAAATGATACTGTTGCTGTATAGCGTTACATTTTAAGAATTTTTCAGATTGTTGAGTTACTGGAAGGTTCATTTTAAATATACCATGATAGAACTGTGAGGCAGCACAATGACAAGGGACAATATTGTAAAGAAGCAACTTTATCAGCGGAGTATTTTTTTAATTCAGTATCATGGACATATTTGTGTACAAATAAAACCATATTCACACATTTATAGTACAATGCAGTGCAGCATATGATGCTGATTCTCACATCCTACTCGTTAATGCACCTGCCATATTGTTTTGGCACCTGTCCTCCCACTTGGCCCTCTCTATTATGTAAATCTAGAATGTTCTAAGTAACTTGTAGGTTACATTTATAAAGTTTTGAGAATTTAAGTCTATGGTTCTGCAGGGCTGACAATGAAATAATAATACAATAAACACAAATATGAAAATAGTCCTGCCTATTCAGCTAAGAAACAGGAATAGTTAAGAGATGACATAAGCAGTACATTAATGGGGCTGATTTATTGACTGGCCGTATTCAATAAAGAGTAACCAATCCAAATCCATCCTGAACTAGTATGAATTCTGACTGGTTGCTACAAGTAACATAATGGGGTTTATTTACTACAGCAGGAGCGTGCAAAATCTGGTGCAGCTCTGCATAGAAATCAATCAGCTTCCAACTTGTATTGCCAAAGGTTAATTAAACAAGCTGTAGTTAGAAGCTGATTGGCTACCATGCACAGTTGGACCAGATTCTGCGTGCACCAGTTTTAGTAAATATCTCCCAATGCCTGAATTGTCTCAATCTATGCTGCCCATATAGTTTAGGTTTTGCTTGTAGAAGCAACTAATGTTATCCTATGTGACCATGCACATTAGGTTGTTTAGAGGCATATTTTAAGCTCAGCTTTAAGGCTAGGTTCACATCTGTGCGGGTGGTGCTGCTGCGGATCCGCACGAAAATCCGTGCAGCCGCACCACCCGTGCAGAGGAATGCGGACCCGCAGGTGGGTGCCATTAGTTCTAACGGCACTGGAAAATGCAACTGTACTGGGAACCGGGGTTCCCATGCGGGCTGCGTTTTCAGACGAAGTGCAGGGACTTCTTCCCTGCGTGTCACGGGGCACGGGAGTCCATTCAAATGAATGGGTTCTCATGCCTGCGCAAAACGTGGCCTGTACGACTGCATATATGTGAACAGGACTAAGAGGCAAAAAAACCTTTCTGTTTTTGTGTTTTTGAGAGCAGTTTTCTGGCAGAAAAAAAACGCTAAGCGCTCCTAAAAGCTAGTACAAAAAATGCTCAAAATTAGCATTTGGTTTCTGCCTAGAGCACTGGCATTTTTTTAAGCCAGTGTGCATCCTTATACTGTATGTCTTTGGCATATGTAACTGTAAAAACAGGTTGAGGTGGCACAAAATGTGATGACTGTAAGCAAAGGGCAGTAACTGATTTGAGATGATTTCTGATTGGTTGTTTTTGTTTACTGCACTTTGGACTTAGCCATGGATTAATATTATAATACAGGATTTACTGTATAAAATTTGCACAGCGTTTTACAACATAGATTACTGAATGACTTTCTTAACAATACAAAATAGTTTCCAATATTATAGTGAAACAATATATCTACAGTTACTTTTGATTTGAACATCCATAATTTCTTCCAATATTCCAAATTTTTGTGGTAAAGAAAAGCATTTAAAAAACCCACACACTACCTTAAATGTGATTATCCTATACCATTTATATATGTTCATATGAAAAGGAGTATAAATTAGTAGGACTTTAAACAAAGATTATACTTTATCAATCTAAAATATACACAATTTTCCACAGCTTATTACTCAGTAAAAGCATCATGAAATAAGAGCATAAAACCAACTTAAACTGGTCCATAACAAATTCTGCAACATCCGTGTGGCAAGACTGAAAGATTCACAAACACATTTTCTCTAGTTATTGTGTACATTCCAGCGTGTATGCTTGGACATGTGGTTCCATAGCACCTAGAGAGCTGCATAGGACTTAATGAATGTAAGGAAATACTCTGTATAAGGAATACTGTAGTATATAAAGGAACACTCTAGTATCTTGGGAATTACTCTAGAACAAAGAGAACTAGACCTGCTTCATAGCAAAGTTTTACATGTAATATTTTTTAGGACAGACTCTACTGAAACTCTTACAGAAAACCAACCACTGAAAGTACCCCTGTCTGTAGAATCTATAAAAGATAATAAACAGTCGCTTACGCCAAAGAAGGAGCTCAGTCCATCGCTCCATAAAACGGCCATATCGGCTCCTTCAAACTCCCCCCGGTCGGACATCCCAAAAATTATTCCGAATTTCAGGTCCTTGATAAGGATCTGGAAATGCACCACTTTTTCTGTGTAGCTGACGTTCCAAAAAAGACGGAGCGACCCTTGAGGATCCAGGGGAACGCTGTAGGGAAAGGAGCTGTCCACAGGGGCTGTTCCATGGAGGGAAAACCATAAGAAGGGCTAAAAAAAAGGCCAATCATTGTGAAATAAATGGGGACAACCTTTTTTATCTGCAGGTGAGAGGGACAGGAGAGCTTCCTGGTCGCCATCAGTTAGGATACAGAGGCAGACCATGGAAGAGTGACTTTTTATACCTCAGTGAATCTGTGCTGGTGTGGTCAGCGTAGTTCTGTAATCACATTTGGCTGATCACAAATCTCATTCTGCATTTGGGCCCTCAGGTCATGCAGGCCTCATTGGCTGCCACACTCTGATAGGCCCTAATTGCCTTGGCAGGTTTAAAGTGACTTTTACAGGCTGTGACGTCTCTAAAAGACAGCTGCAGCCAAAATACACTTCCTCACCTGTGACAGAAGGCTTTCATTGTATGTCAGTCTGCATATGTGTTGTCTATTTTGATCATTTTTATCTGGATCTGGTGTCAAACAAATGTTTAAAGCTCCCAAACTGTTCCCCATTCAGAGAGACTGTCCCTCTTTTTTTTAAACAGACCCCTCTGTCCCTCATTCCTCCTCAAATGTCCTCTCTTTTAGCACTGATATAAAGATCTAAATACATAAATGTTTTATTTAACGGCAAAAGTCGTTTTATTGCAGTAAACATTCCATCCATCCTGCAAATTACTTTATCTGTTATTTTTAAATGTTTGCGTAAAGGAAATGTAGCATTGAATAAAGCCCTAGAAGGAATAAAGCTGGCCACACACACAGATTTTTCTACTTTAGACTGTGGGCTGAACAAAAAAAAAAAAAACAAAAGGATTCCTCCATGGATGCTAAACAGCGCAGATGGATGAATTTCCCACTGCAGTTACTGTATTCTGATAGCCTGTGCTACCAATTATGAAAATACCGAAACAGTGGCTGCATCTGATTGGATGCAGGCTCTATTTAGCTGCCAATTTTCCACCCAGTTGGAGGATGTCTGCTTGATGGTGCCAACAGGGCTATCCATGGATTTGCTCTATGTATGGACCAATTTTAGAGAGAACTTTTGATCTTTAATTTCTAATGGTTTGATTCAGGGTGTGGCCATGGGGTGTCCTTTGCCTAAATATCCTATGCTCCTGTAGCACTACCCCCTTAGGGGTTGCTGTTGATTTGGGTCCCCCTATAGTCCTGCACAGCCAGGCAATCGGCATTCTCCACGCAAGATTGCATTCAGAGTCAGATATCAGTCCTTGAGCTTTGGCCTTGTTATTTATTGAGGGGATTTGAACTGGAATGGGGTAAAGGGGGTAAAAGATGCCCAAGGGAACCGATAACTGAGGACAAACTTCCTGAAACTATTCACAAGCTTCTTTTCTGCAACACAGTCTCTGTTGGAGAGCTAGTCAGCATCTCCTTGTTGTATCACCCCAGACCCTAGATGAAGTCCTCTTCACCCAGCAATCTAGAGACTTTTCCTGAGCTGGGGATCTGGCTCCTGTCCCCTTGAATAGGGGAACAGTCACTAGTAGGGGGCTAATCTGGTTTCCCACCAGAGTGCTCCTTCCTCTATCCACCCAGGGGGTGCAGGTTTACTCATTCAGATACTCTCCTGTACCTCTTGCAGGTTGGCTGCTGCTACCAGGCATATCAGCTGGGCTGGTCCATCCCAGCCATACAGGTGGTCCTTGCTCAAAGGGCCAGTGAGCTCCACGTTTTCTGCCTTTCCAGCTCCAGGCTCACAGGCAGGCCCCATCCCACTAGGCCTCCTGGCAGCCTTCCTCTTCCAGCCTCACATCTTCCTACTCCTTCTTCCACCCAACTCTCCACATTCCTGCTACAGAGCAGGCTCCTACACCTTTAAGGGAGTCCCAGCCACTTGCCAAGCATTTTGTTGGGGATTGGCTGAGGTCCCTCAAGAATGCAGACAGCCACTCCTCAGATCCACCCACTGCTTCCAAGGCCCTCCTCCAAAAGGCACGGAGCAGGGTTAAATTTCAGAGGGACTGGCCTGCAGAACCTCTCAGCCCAGACCACAATTTGACCCCTCTGGGTATTACACCTAAGCTGCTAACCAGCTCCTGTCTAACCTTTAGGATCTTGCTCCCCCTAGCTAAACTTTGAGGTTGCTACCCTCCTATATAAAGAGTCTCCTTTTACCCATCTTTTAAAATTGGAAGGTATACATACCTATAAATACCAGCAGATGCCCCTGGCTGACCAAGAACATTTGAAAAATAAATTGGCCAATACTGTAACTCCTGAGATAAACCAGTGTATCTTCCCCTTCTCCATAGAACAAATGTACATGTACTGTATGGGTGACCCAAACATTTACTTTTTTCTTTAAAGACCCTAAAATGTCCTTCATCAAACATTTGAGGTCTATGGATTAAAGCTAGTCAAAAAGACTGGATTACTTCAAGAAATGTAATGTTTGTATGTCCTCAGTATCACTGCTTGACCACTATCTGAAGTATCAGAAAACTACTATATGAAGTGTCAGAAAGCTAATCACTATTGTTCTTTTCTGTGATAAGCAGCAGTTGTAAAGTCTGCCAGTGTTGTCATACCCCCTCCTTATCTCCATTGGCTTGTTATGTTTTGGTGAAAACCACAAGATTTGAGTGCTTGAGGGCAGTCGGATTGTTTGCAGGGCTGCACAGAGTGACATTTTTTCTAATTATTATCTCCTGCTTGAGCATTTTTTTTTATAATTTGTACTGGCACTGAATATTAATTTGGGAGTTCTGCTGATGAAATCTAAAAAAAACATTTCTGCAGAAAGGAAACTCAGTTTAACTGTATGTGAGTTTTTACTGTTTCCTGCACATAATACTTGCTGTAAACTGCTACAAGGCGAATGTGGGGTAGAAAAAGCTTTTTTTGTCGAGATAAGGGGCTCTCCAAAATTTTCAACACGAGGACCACTATTGTATATTCTCACAGGCCCAAAAAATGTTTTATTACATTATATTTCAGTTCATATTATTATGAATGAATACTATTTAATGAATACATTTTTTGAATCAGCATTATATGATTCAGAAAAGTAAAGAACTTCAATAAAACAAAGCAAAGAAATTCCAAATAAACTTGAGCCATTAATAAAGGTAGAAGAAAAATAAATTAGTTCTGCACATTTCTCATCAAACCCCTCTTTAGAATAGGGTCCCAATCAGTTTCCCCCCTTTACATTAGAGTCCCCACCAGAGTCCTCCCTTAAATTTTGGTCCCCATCAGAGTCCCCCCCTTACATGAGGGTCCCCATCAGAGCCCCCCTTACATAAGGGTCCCCATTAGAGTCCCTCCTAACATCAGGGTGCCTACCAGAGTCCCCCTTAAGGTCAGGATTCCATCAGAGTACCCCCTGATGTCAGAGTCCCCTCTTATTTTAGGGTCCCCATCATTGTCTTTTCATACTGTCGGGGTAGGAAAAATAATAGGTGTGTATGTCCAGCCTAAACTTTTTTTCATGTCTGCAATTGAGTGAGAAAAGAATTATAACTCCGAGGCACGGTTAGGGTGATTTCCCCTCTTTCCTGTCCTGCTGACAATGGTTTACCATACAGGAAGTGAGTGAATATTTCCACAGTAAAACAGACAGAAATAAAAAAAGCTTTTCTTTAGTAGAATAGGGGAAGGCCAACTTCTCTGTCAGATTTTTATTTCTATCTGCATTTCTTTTTGCAGATTTACACTGGCTGATGAAATTGCAGGATAAAAAATGAGGGGAAATCTCCATAATCGATTCCTTGATAGAAATAGAAACCTGTCAGAAGTTCTGATACTTTCCTATTCTGCCCATAATGAGAAAAAAAAAACATTTTTTTAGAAAGACTGCTGTGACTCCAGTTCTTGTAATTGCATGATCAGAAAAAGGGAATCTCTTAATACCAAGTTTGCGTTTTTGCTTTATTGCATCCTTCTTTTTTTTTCTTTACAATAGCCAGTCATGCACAGTGCAACTTACAGCAGCTCCTCAAGAGCTAAAACTGAAGTCTTCTTTTTTTTTTTTCAATGCTATTCCCCACCCACCCAGAATCCAAGGAATGACATAAAAAAGACGGCGCTTTATTTTTTATATTGTATATATACACACGAGAGGGAAATGTATGCTTGTTTTTATTGGGAGTGTAAGGGTTAAGTTCCATATTCAGCCCTACATAGCTGGCAATGGCAATAAGATGCTCAGCCGTCCACTACATCAGGAAATTAGATAAAGCACAATAGACGCACCTGCTTGTCTGTGATTGGACAAATTCCCTGTCCAGGCCTCGCTGCTCCAGGCCACATGACATTTCAACTCTGCTGATATCCCCTATTCATTGCCTTGATTCAATTTACTGCTCGCCACTTGGATAATATAAGGCAACACAAATACATAACCCCGAGGGTAAAAGAGAGTAATTGTGACAAGTCATCAACGCAGTGTACATGCAAGAGAGCGTCTGGAAGGGAAAAAAAAATAATTGATCAATTTGTTGGCAAGACTAAATAATTTATTGATTTTTTTTTTTGCAAAATTGTAAGGGTTAAATATTCATGAAATTGATTCTGCTGCTTGGAGTAGGGAGAAAAGAATACGATGCAATGTGCCAATATTTTAGCAAACACTTCCAGGGACTATACATGACACAGTAAGGAGAGACATTTCAGGGTTGCAAATCATTATCTAGTCAACAAAGACAATATTTTAGTGAAATACTGATGCTTTCTGTAGTTGAAAGATTCAGTTAACTGAAAACTGGTGTTTCAATGCTTAGTGAAGTGAGTTAAACCCCCGGACAAGTTCTAATATCTGCAAATGACTCTATTGGTGAGATCTCTGAGCTGCCTTCCTGGGTCTGCATGCCTGCTGTGACCAGTATGAGGGGCTTCCACCATCCCTGCTGGATTTTGTATTTATTTTATATTATGGAGAATGTAAAAGAAGTAGCTGGGTATCCCTGCTTAGTTTTCCAGTGCTTAAATGAGCCCAGAATAATTTATTGTACTAAGTTCTTCTGCTCTTTGCTCTGCATTCTTAAATAGGAAACCAAGTGAGCAAGTTTA